AAAAGCTCATCGTGCTAGAAATCAGAAAAGAAAATAGGGTTTTTTTTTTTTTTTTGGTAGCCTAGAAAGGAGACAGTTGTCTGACGAGAAAGGGTAGAAGTGAGGAAGGGCAGAATATCTCTGTAAATGTAGATGCTTTTGTTAAGAGAATGATAGAGAGGTATCATAACAATTTTACTCACGTTGTATTTTGTTTAGCGCAGGAGTGCAGGACTGATGCAATGCATGCTATTGTTACGCCAGAGGGATATAATAATAGCATTCAAAAGAGGAAGATAAGTAGGTCTACAGACGATCCTATTGTCAATTTGTGGATGGTGAAAGAACCAATATATCTGTTTGTTGAATACCATGCAGATCCAAAAGGCTATGGAAATCCATTTTGTGAGGCCCATTCTCATATCCAATCCCATCCTCACTGCTAACATTCTAACTTAAAATCTCTTAACTTTTTAATAGTTTCAAGGTAATGCTGTTTAAAAACCAAAGAATTAGGAATTTTATTATAATTTAAGAATAAAATGGGATCAGTACACCAAAGCTTTAACACAGCACCCTCGTCAAACCCAGACACGAGCTTAAAAGAATAAAACGCAACCCATCCAATTAGGAACTGAGTATCATAAATGGAGACGCAGTCATTATATACTAGCTTGGATTAAAAACTGACACGCTTCAGTCAGCCATGATTTCTCTCCAAAAAAAATTATCAAAGATATCAGCAAAGACATCGTCCTCTTGTTCGAGCAGCTTTTGTTGTACGTGATCGGTAATTTTATCATGCTGTAAGTACTATAATGACGATGAGCAGCACAATTCCAAATATCACCAGGAGCAAGCAGGCCTGCAAAAATAAAGGTAAAGTTAATGCAAGTTAAGGACAACAGGCAATATCTTCGTGCTCTTCTTTTTTTTATGGATACATAAAATGGTATTCAATTGTGACATTTTGATTCAACGTAGCTTGCATAAATGAGACAAAAAAGACAACTCGGGGGGGAGAAAATCAACCAATTGATAAGAAACCCAAAAAACATCCCCTTGAAACCCAAGAGTCAATTTGGGGTTAAAATATTACCAAGCTGATGTTCACATCGAGTGTATCATGCACTAGGAGATGGAACCACAGAACAATAATTTACCAGAGATGAATTTGATCTTTGTGTCTTGGAAGCTTTCGCAAGTTGTGATCTCCCCTGTGCCGTTGCAGCCTGGGCATTTTCAATGTGGGAACCAATGTCATCTGCAACATGAATATATGCTTGTTACTCCAACATGGCCCAGAGCAATAACAGTTAAAAAAAAAAAAAGAAAACACAAATAAACAAACAACCTAACAAACAAAGAGGTCACTTACCAATCATAGCTCCTTGCTCATGGACCAACACAGCAAGATCTTTAAAAATCTCATTTACCTCACCAATATGCTGCTGGATTTCTTGGATTCCCTGCTCTCTTTCCTCAATGATAGCCTCATTGAATGCAATCTCATTGTCCAACAGCAATACCTCCTGCCTGCAAAAGAGGAAAAACTCAGAAGTTAAAGGATTCTGCAACTTCTGTACTTGGATAACCCACATTCATGAAAAAATAAATAAAATAAAGATTAAAAAAGAGAAAATGAAGCAAGCTCTTTTATTGTAAAGATGAAACAATAAATTTATAGAAAGGAAAAGGAAAGACAAATTTTTATTCAGTAAACATTTGAAGTGCATATCAAATTTTTTAACTAAAAAATAACAAGTTTTGGATTAATGCTTTAAACATAGTTTATAATCTTGCCTCTACAGTTGTCATCCCAACTCCACCAGTATTACTTTCTCTTCTCAGCAATAAAATCTCTTCAAAATTTTTTATGCACACTCACTCTATGTGGTATGACTTAGGAGTCGAGACCCTTGTCATAAACTCTGGATAAACAGTTCTAGAACAACCTCAATTGAAATAAAAGAAAAACTTTTGCCGAAGAGGAATTTTGAAGTACATATTCCATTATTCAAAACATATACAATGTGTAAGTAGCGGGCACCATGCAAATATAAGCAGGATTTACCTTCTAGATTCCATAAGAAGAGCATGCTGTTCAGCAGCCTTATCTGAAGCTGCATCTAGCTCAGTGGCTGTGTAGCTGCATACAGCATGAAGTAATCTCAACATAAGAAAAACATGCCAAGTGTACTGCAACATTACAGAATACACTCACTATAGTGCCCACAACAATAATTTGCAAAGGTTACATGACAAAATCAGTAGTAGTTATAGATTTCTTGTAAATGAGATCAACTTGTAGATGACTCAGTTTTCCACATCACTATGTCATGCACACAAGAGTTAGATACAGAGCTTCCAAGTCTGATTCCCCTCTGACAAAACATACCTTGAAGGAAGAACTGCCTGGGGATGGGGAACAAAAGGAGTATAAGTTGTTTCCCTTTCAGCTGCAAGCCGTTGAGCCTTCTGAAACTCTTTCAAAACTGCTTGAAAATCTTTTGCAAGTTTAGCATCAGTGACTTTCTTGCTTGCCTGCAATTTAAAGCAATTAAAGGTCTTCAAAGCATCAATAACAAAAAAAAACTTAAAAAGAGTAAAGATTAATCATCTAAAAACACAACATCAAAGTAGTAATGAAGAACTAGTGCCAAAATTGGTTCTAATTGCACTTTTTGGAAGTGATCTGGCTATAAATCAAATCAAACCTCAATAAGTCAAGAAAATCCTTATCCAACACTTCAAAACTATGAAATTTTTTTACTCCATGTTCAGAAACAGCTTTCTCCAGGTGACTTGAGGCAGAAATTTAAATTTGGCACTAAATTCATTTTCTAGCCACCTTTATTCCTATTCTAGTCTATTCCGTTATCCTGATCAACAATCCCCCAAACAAGCAACGAATAGGTTTTGGAACTAGAAGAATTGCACAACAAAACTCCACTAGCACACAAACGCAACCATCAAAGATTTTGACATGAACATATTCTAACAGAGATGCAAAGTAACTGTTCTTCCCTTTATTTTAACCATGAATTTGAAATTGGTCTTGTGAAACATGAAATATCACACATGGGAAAAACACAAAAGACCATGTTTGCTTATCTGAATTGCATAATCAATTAGCCCCTAATTCAAAAGCCACACTTACACTAACATCAGCACGGTGATCTGTTTCACTAGCTTGTTTAAGTTTGGCTGAAGTATCCTTCACCAGTTGCCCAATATGTAGCCTTGTCTTGTGTCTGTCAAGAAAACAAGAGCCAGTAAGACCTGTAACAGATACGAAAAAGATGATCTAATGTGCACACTGCGCAATACCAAGCAGCCAGCAACATGCAAAACACATCACTGATACTACCATTCATTTTAAACAAAAAACAAAAAAAAAAAAGTTCGGATTTTGGACATAAAAATTAAGGACGGAATTATTAAACCTGTGATTGTATCCAAATATAACATGTAAAAAGAAGTATAACTGAATGAATTCAGGATCTTTCAGACTTGAAAATGATGACCATGAAGCAACCTAAATCCAATCATCTAAACCCTGAACTTCTTACATAAACCTGAATTGCTGAACATTCAAATTGCAAAATATCAAATTGATCAAAATAGCTCACTAAATCTACCTGATTCCATACATTCCCAATTTCACAATGAAAGTAAGTACGCACGCAACAAAACAGCCACATTCTTCTAATTATTCTCGCTTTCACTAAATCAATGGCCTTCATTCTCTAATTGCATGTATAGCAATGGATTGATCGAAACAATAAATATGACAACACCACGAAATGCAACAAAACTAACCAATCCTACCACAATTCCTCACAGTTCAATCCAAAACCTACAGATAATCACGTGAGTAGATTCACACTTACAACTTCTCCCGCAGCTCAGGAGTGTCCTTAGGTGTCCCGATGGTATTGACGAGACGCTGGAAGGTGGAAACAGCGGTGTTGATCTGGAAAATGCCGGAAGCAACAGCTTGAGTGGCATCCAGCTTGCCGTTGATCGCGTTCTGTCTCGATGCCTTGGACCGTCCTCGTGCCACATCCTGAAAGCTCATGATTATCTCTTCGTATAAACCCTAATTTCCAGAGAAATTCCGATGGAAAATCTCTTGAGAAAGGGATTACGAAAGAGAAAATCTGAAGAACAGGTGTTTGGACGACGGGATAAGAGAAAAAAAACCGACGGGAATTAGGTGAGGATTGGGGCGGAAACTGGAACTTAGAAGGAGGCGCGAAGTGAGGAAGGGGAGTGTTAACAGGAGATGGACGTGACAATGATGTGGCCCACTGCACAAACGGGCCCCCAGACCCAGAGTTTGTTGTTCGCGCGCGTGTATTTCGTTTTTCCTTTTTTTTTTTTTTATGTTTTATTACCTGGCAAGGAATGGTGATGGATACAGGGACGACACGTGGATGGCGCGAACAGGTCAGGGGGCGGCGGTGATGTTCAATTCATTACGCCCTTTTTTTTTCTTTTTTCTTTTTTTTTTTTATCATTTAATAATTAACTGTTCAATTCGAACAGTTATTAAAGGATATCAGAGAAAATTTTTTAATGTGGATTTCTATAATTTTTTGTAGGAGGATAAAAGAAGCAAATTTTATGCGACTAAAATTAATTTAAGATTATTTACATAACTTGTTATAGTGTTATATATATATATATATTAATTTACACTAACAGTTGGTTGGTATGAGTAGAAAAAATTTGATTTTTTTAAAATAAAATATTAAATTTGAATAAATGCTAAAAAAATTATTATTTTGAAATTCAATGCAACTTGGGTTTTAATTAATTGAAATTTAATATAATTTTTAAATATTGAGAGTTAATATAAAAATATATATATTAATTTATTTAATACTATAGTTTATATTATATTATTGATTTCAAATTTTATATCTAAATTTTTTTCTCATGTAACACTACTGTAATTTTTTAAACAACGATGAAATTATAAAGTGAATAATAATTCGTTCGCGGCATTAATCAATATTTATAAGGTGTTTTTAACATATACTTAAGCCCTTGTAAAAGGAAGAAAATAATCAATGCAACAATTTAGATTTTTATCAATTTTCTATTAAGCTCTTTCCATACTTTTGTAAAACCGTTACTAGATTTATAATCATGCTAAACTGGCTCTTAATACAAATGAGGTTTTTTTTAAGTTCTAGCACCACTCAAAAAATATTCATAAAACTCACTTATTTCATGATATTGTTTAATATATATATATATACACAAAAAATTTACTTATATATAAGTTTTACATGTTTCATTTATACAAAATTTTAATAATTCATCACTCTAAGTTCAATGTTTAAAATTTTCTCACAATTTTTAAGATGAAAACAATAATAATCTTTAATAAATGTGAATAAATTTTAAAGTAGAGAAATTAATAGTTGAGATTTTATATAAATATAATATATAAGATTTGCCTGTAAATAAATTGCTTCTTATATATATATATATATTTACAAATTGATTTTTAGAAGTACATGAAAGGGTATATCCATTAATTTTTTTATTAATAATATGAAAGAATGAAAATTGATACTCCCTCAATCAATTTTTAGTAGTTGTAATTTGATTTTTTAATTTTTTAAATATGAATTTCATATAAAAATTTAATATATTATATAAATAATAATTAATTTTTTTATTAATTAAAAATATTCGACAATAACTTTATATAAGAACAAAAAAACCTTTTAATTATTATTTATATGAATTATTGAATTTTTATTTAAAATTTATATTCAAAAAGTTAAAAAATTAAATTAAAACTATTAAAAATAAATAGAGAAAATATTAATTTTATTTATTATCTAATTAAAAATATCAACCTAACTTCATATCATATTAGATGATGAATCATACAATAAAAAATAACCTTTTTATTTTCTTAATGTTTCATCACTTATTTCAAACATTAAATTTGAGATTTTAAATTAAAGTCTTAACTGTGAATAAATTAAGACATTATATATATATATATTTTTTTTTTGTTTTTTTATGTAAACTAATGACCATTCCTAAAAGATACATTTATACTAACGAGAACGATGGGTTGGATTAAGTGGTAAGCGGCTTATTCAAGTTTAAGTAAGGTCTCGAGTTCGAGTCCTTGTGTACGTAGCAGCTCTCGTTGGGAGACTCACCCACCATTTCCAGATACACGACGCGAGTTGGGTCCGGATTAGTCGAGGCGAAACCTTAGATACCGGGCGAGAAACCAAAAAAAAATAAAAACATTTATTGCATAACTTGTGCCCTCAGAAACAAACGTTACAAAACCTCAATTGAAAAGTACAGTATTAATTGCTTCAATTGGAGGACGGAATCAAAATTGTGAAGCAAATTCAACCTTGTAAAATTTAGCCTCCCATTCCATCCCATTCCATCCAAAAAAATAAAATAAAATAAAATAAAATTTGTATTTTTTCCTCCCACACGTGCGACGACAGCGGGCAGATCTCGCTTCCCTGCCTGGCACGTGCCATCCCTATACAAATTGAATCCTTCCTCCTCCCTCTGCCTCCATTTTCATTTGTTTTTCAAGAGACGACTTGGTCACTCCCAGATTGCCTGAAGCACCAAATCTCCGAACGCCATTTCCACCATGTCGGTAGGTTCCGTTCTTCTCATACCCATTTCTCGATTTCTTTTGCGATCTATAGTTTGTTCCAATCTGCTCTTTGTTTTCTTGTTTTCGATTTTCTCCGTTCGTTTCTTTGGAAAATTTTCAATGCAAGTACTCTTCGTCGAGATAATGTATGCTAATCGCGATCATCTGAAAACGAGATTGATTCCAGCTAAAGATTTTAACTTTGATCATCTTCGGTTACTCTATACGTTATATATTTGCGGTTTCAATCCTAGAAATGAGGTAGTTGCATTGTGAAGCAAATGCCTTCTGGTTTCGTAAATTCTGGGCTATCAGTTAAATTCATCTTTCTTTTTGTGTGGTTGTTTGGTTCTATGGACTTAACATGTTTCTGTTTCAGGCCGGTGGTCCTAGGTATGGCCTCTATTCTGATTAGCTATTGAATGCGTTCTTTAAGGCTGTTTCTCTGTCAGATGCTGCTGTGAGTAAATAGGGCATCATAATGGAAAGAAGCAATAATGCCATATAATTAATTTTGCCGGCCAAAAAAAAAGAAAGCAATATAATTAATTTAAGAGTCCCTGTTTTGCAATTAGGACTGTGAAACAGGGATGGCTGCTGAACAAGGATGGTTGGATGGAGGAGGGCCCCCAATATCATGGGGTCTGCCTCTCATCCAATGGTTTCTATTGTGTAGTCCAGACTAGACAACAGTTTTTTTTTTGTTATTCACGCTGTATAATTAAATTATCATTGCTTGAAAGTGAACCCCTTTATTTTCCTCTTTGTGATAGCATGATATTGTAAAAAGACTAGGTGTTAAACTTAGGATTATCTTTTGAGCCTTATAGAATAACTACTATTTTAATCTAAAATGTATATCTTGGACCAGCCTGAATTAGTCTCGTTAAACCCCTGGAAATTAACCCTTTTTCACAAACCCTTTTACCCATTAACAACCATAATTCAACCACAGCAACCTTTTTTTTTATTTTTTTGTACTATTTTAGTACTAGTACCAGGAGGAACATTTATCGCTTACCCCCTTTTATTTATTTATTTTTGTTCATCTTACAACTTGGTGTCAAATTACATTCAAAAGTCGTTCTTTTATCTAATCAGTGCATTGTCTCTGAGGCCTCATGTTTGCCTGTTATCAATATCTCCCTTTAGGCTTCACTCCAGCATCTCATAGTGTGTTGTCATCAATGTAGGTAAAAACTGTGAAAGTCAGCGATGTCTCTCTAGGAGCAACTGAGCGAGACATCAAGGAGTTCTTTTCCTTTTCCGGTGATATTGAATATGTTGAAATGCAGAGGTTTGTTCTTCATTAGTTCATAGCTTCAAGTTTTATTTATTTATTTTGTTCTTTTCATACAAAAATTAAATGGCATGCTTTATGCAGCAACGATGAACGATCTCAAATTGCATATGTTACCTTCAAGGATACACAGGGAGCAGAGACTGCTGTGCTTCTTTCGGTAATTTCTTCAGATTACATTTCACTGCTAAATTTGTGAGTTGTGATATTTCCCCAGCATGCTTACTTCACTTTTCATATACATGCATGACTCGATTGCATATGTTCCTTGAAGGGAAAAGTGGCAAGAAGATGTTAGATGTCACATTTAGAAGATAGTACTTCTAAGAATGTTGCTTCAGGAAATTATTTTTCAGCATATGGTTGTGGCATGGGCAAAACATGCTGTGCTGTCTATGGCAATATAATCCATGTTCTAACAAACCACTGGAAGTTGGTTTGTTCAAACTAGGTTCCTGTGTAGAGTATAGAATTTGGAGAAAACCTAGCCGGTTGAGAAGATCAATACTATAGTCTAAAAGGAACAGTATTTTGCCTTGTTTTAATCCTCTCTCAGGTTTAAGGCTTTCGCTTAAAAACTGGTATTGGACAAAATCCATCCACCAGTGCCTGCTGACTGGATCCTGACATCATTACCAAGTGACATGTATTTTGGTATATAGATAAGAATGCTGTCTCTTTCTTTATTGTGCAATAAAAGCAAATTTCTTTTTTGAAACCTTATGCCATTTCAGGGAGCAACAATAGTTGATTTGTCCGTCATTATTACTCTGGCTCCTGATTACCAGCTTCCTCCTGCTGCTTTAGCACCTCCTGTGAGTTTCTTACACAAAACTTCTTCAAATAGTCCTTTTGTTAGAACAAAACTTACTTGATGTACTGTGCTACACAGTCAACTGAAAATAAAGCTCCAGGTGGTGCTGAATCTGTTTTGCGGAAGACAGAGGATGTTGTTACCACCATGCTTGCCAAGGGCTTCACATTAGGCAAAGATGCAGTCAACAAGGCAAAAACCTTTGATGAGAAGCACCAGTTAACTTCAACAGCTTCAGCTAAGGTAGTATCTTTGGATAAAAAAATTGGCCTCACTGAGAAAATAACTGCCGGTACTACTGTCGTTGGTGACAAAGTCCGAGAAGTGGATCAGAAATTTCAGGTTTCTGAGAAAACCAAATCAGCATTTGCAGCTGCTGAACAAAAGGTCAGTAGTGCAGGATCTGCCATAATGAACAACAGGTACGTGTTTACTGGGGCTGCATGGGTAACAGGTGCTTTCAGTAAGGTTGCAAAGGCAGCAGGGGATGTTGGCCAGAAGGCAAAAGAAAAGGTGGGGGTGGCTGAAGAGGAAAGGAAGCAAAAAGTGGTCGATGACTTTGCTAAGGTTCATCTCTCCGAGTCCCCTAAAAAGGAACCTGCACCACAAAGTGAACAGCTGCCTTCAAAGCCAGAACCTGCTCAAGGTTTGATTCTCTGATTAGCTACTTCTGTAAATACCCATGACTCTTTATCTCTTGATTACACACCGTGTTGTTCCAGTTTGGACATGTTTGGACATGGATGAATGTAATACAGGGTTCCACCAAATTACTATAATGCACTTTATACTATTAAACTATTTGTTATACTATTAAACTATTTGTTATGAAAAATGTCAATGAATTGAATATTTCCAATGTTGACTATCTTTCTTGTTCTTCGTGGTTTCGCATCAGAATGGTTCTGGTTTACTCATTTTCCTTCTGTTTCTAATCTCAGTTGGTCTTCTAGACGTTGGCTGTGCGGTTTACTTTGATAGATATAGTTTATTGCGTTTCAAACCCTCCTGAATCCGACGGAGCATGTTAAAAATGTAGAACTACAAATGAGTTGACTGCACTGATTTATTTGACATACCCCCCTAATCTCGGGGAAATTCATATGTTAAAATCAAATGCATTTCAGAGAAGTTTATATTGGCTTAGATAAGGGAAAGGGAAAGGGAAAGGGAAAGGGAGAACAAAAATATTGAAGCAACCCTCATGTCTCCTCAAGTATAAATAAAATAAATAGTATATAATAACAAGAAAAGGTTTTCTCGAAAGAAAAGGCTACCTCTATCTAACTTTGATTATTACAAAAATTAATCAAATGAAACTAATAAAGCAGATTGCATAATTCATACATGCATAAATTTGTAATAATAGTATCAGAATGATCTTTTATTATAACATTTCTATACAATTGTTACATTTTATTAACTAAATAAATACATATAATATCATAAGTTTTAATATAGTTAAAAAAACCAATTATTAAATGAAATATAAGTTTGTATGAAAAAACTATACAAAAAGATTATCTCAATTATTTTCCTCTAAAACATATGCTTAATTAATTTGTAGGACATTTATTTTGAAAAATGCAGCTCTAACAAGGAAAGATATTTCGATCGCTATGCCTGTGGTGGCATGGTTAATAGCCAATAAAATAAAATAAAATGCAAAATTAAGTAATCTCTCTTTGGTACACCAAGTGAAATGTCCCCCCTGAATCAGCATCAATTGGCAAAAGGCAGAATGGGTGAACTAAAGTGATGCAAAAATAAAAAATAGTCACTCTAACAATGCCTTCTTGTTCCTCTCCTGATTTTACATGACTACAAATTTCAGCTTTGCAAATCGTCATTCAAGTGAAGGATAATCATGTTAGCAGGAGGCACACCCAAATCCAAATAGACTTGTTTAGATATTTTTATCGGCTTGAAATTGTTGCTGAGAGTATGCTCACCAAGATCTGACAAAAAGTCCTTACTTTTTCCTTTGTTGATCAGAAACTCTTCTTCCCATAATCTTACAAACCGGCTCATCCTTTGACTGACAAAGTTTTAGAGCTGGGTGAACCCTAAGGTCTCCCATAACAATCTTCTGACCCACATCCAACTCACTTAGATCCACTTCAATATAAGGAGGGATTACATCTGGTGGACAAAGATACTTGACAGTTCTCTTGATGGTATTCAAATAAGACCCTGGCAAGATTGCAAAGTGAATGATTCATACTCCCACGAACAAGCTAGGAAAGGTATTCTATCATATGACAGTGCGGAGAAAAAAATGAAATACATATGAACCAAATGACAAATTGAAACTAGGTAAAAAGTAGCTCACAAATCCACCACAAGAATATTATATCTGATCAAGAAACTGAACCAACTCACTTATGAAGAAATTATAATAAGATTTAAAGAGCTGATTATGCTATTCCTCAGAATTAAAGTAGCAGGATCCAATCAAAAGTTCTAATGAATATTGAAGGTCTTGACCCTTCTAACTGATGCATTAAATGTATCCCAGCACATCTTGACAAAGAAACTACTCTAGAATAAAAGAAAATGATAGTACTATTATGTCATTCTAAGGCGAGATGGCATTCGGCACAGTGGTATCTTGCACCCAGACACCTATGGATAAACTCTAACAGTGTGAGCCTGAACCAACATAAAATGCATATTCTCCTTTATCATGCCATCATGCAGACTATAGAAGAGATAGCAACAGCATCTATGGTGCACAATTGATTATGCCAAGTAATGAGTTTACAAACACAAACATATGTACAATTACTAATCCAATTTGATTTCTATATGAGGGAAAGACAGAAACAAAGACCACTACAATCATGTTGAAAAAGCCTGTTCACTTTAATCCTCCTGGGAAAGCATAATATTGAGAACAGAGTTCATTGCAGCTTACCTTTCCTCAATCCAGGAGATACATCTTCTCCTTGAAACACAAGAGGAACATCCACCTTCAACAAAGCATGGGAAGGTGCCCTTATGAAGGTCGCATTAAGAGGAGCATCGGTTCCAGCATGCAAATGAAGCTGAAAAAATTACAGTCAAAAACTTCAGTGATTAGAAATCAATAACACATTTGACGAGTGATAATCCTAAATACCATCAACTCTAAAAGTTCCTAAATTATTCACCTTGGAAGTTTATTTAGCTTAAAAAATTACAGTCCTTGAGGAGGTTTGATTCATCTCTATATGAATCATTCAAGTATACTTCACAGACAGACTTAACTCTTTCCAATTTATCACATTCATCAAAAACCCAAAACCAGCATTACCTTCCTGGGCAGAACCCGAACCTTCTCAATAAGATCGCCGGACCCAAACTCCGACCTGACCTCAAGATCAAAAAGCCTGGAGAGGAAGAAGGATTGACCCAGAAGCGTAACCAATTTCCTGACCTGATTTGTCTGCACGGAAATGAGCCTCTTGTTGCCTCCATGCTGCCCATCTTCCTGCTCGAAGACTATGGCTGGGATCCGACCTGCCTTTCTTTCTTTGACTGAGATGCTAGTGCCGGATGCCGCGCGAGGGATCGCGAGGATTGTCTCCGCGTACTTGGGATCCGGCCTGGGGAAGCCTTCGAGGTTGGTTAGCGGCTCTGTTGTCAACGACGGTGACGACGACGACGAAGATAGGTCGAGTGCGGCGGCTTGAGAGAAGAAGCGAAGGTGGAGGGTTCTGGCCAAGAGGGTGCGGTGGATCAACATAGCTGTCGCCGCCGAGAGGGAACGGAGGGCTTAAGGGAGGTTTTGAGGGCCAACTCAGGGGTGGCAGTGGAGAAGAGGAATTTTAGTATTTTTTTTAAAAGCCCAGATTATAAGGACAGGCCCAACAAACAAGTTGGAAGAAGCCCATTTAATTGAATCATGGTTTACAGGCTCACACACAAAATAACAATTAATTAATATCTTTCCGTAATGATCTAGTTTTATTATTTATGGGCTAGAAGCCTGCGCAATTGGGCAGCGACCGGGTCCATGTTAAGACTTTTAGAGCCCACCCCAATAACTAAATTCTAAAAAGAAAGAGAAAAGCGGCAGAGAACAATAGCACGAAGGAAAAGATAAGTTCCGCAATATATTAATATATATTATAACAAAAGTTTTGTTGAATTAGTGTTTATTAATTTTAAAATTTTAAGTTAGAATTGAAATTAAATTTATTATAATATTGAAGAAAATGATTTTTGTATAATTTTTTGTTATATTTTTTTGTACAATCTAACGTATCATTTAAATGATTAATTTTTTTTAATTCATATGAAACTCGTGATATTAAATGCATTCATTCATTTAATAACATATAAAAATTATATAAAAATATGGTATAAAAGGTTGTCCATATAATACTACCCTAATATTAAATAAAAATTAGTGTATATTAATTTTGCTTTTAAAAAAAAAATTAGAGTTTTAACTTATAATCAAAAACTAAAATCACAATTTAAAATTTAAAAATTTACCTTATTAGTTGTTGATATCTAGATTTAAAATCCAATTATATACCATAATATAATTAGTTTTTAAATTTAACTATCAACATTTAATAAAATAAATATTGAGTTTTAATTAAATAAAATAATGTAATTTAAAATTAAAATTTTAATTAATTTTAAAAGTCGACACTTATATATATTTTTTATTAAATAATTAATTTATTATTATAAATAAATAAAAATATTATTTTTAAATTTCTAATTAAAAAAAATAAAAAGCAATAATTATTTAACACAAAAAGTACAGCTTTTTGGCCACCTACGAAAACATTCATTTCTTTAGTTGTTACCAATTCTCCTCGAGCAAATAACTAAAGATTAAATTCTAATTTTGTCCCTCAACTTTATAGTTTTATATAATTTTGTTCCTTAACTTTTTTATATTTTTTTCTTTTAACTATAAAACATATATATTTTTAGTTCTTCTATCAATTACTCTTTTTGTTCCACATTATCTGTTGTTTTAAGCTTTTGCACACTGATTAAAAAAGTAATTTATTACTCTTGATTTTAAGGATATATAAGATTAAAGTACTGTTTTATCCTTTTAATAGAAATGAAAAGAAAAAGAGCATATAAATCAATGGAGGAGTATATTTTACTAGAGAAGGGTAAATTTGAAAAAAAAAAAGTAATTAACATGATATTGATATCCTAAAACATCAGTTATTGAGGAACAAAAATTTCTTTTCACAACGACAAATAATGTGACACAGAGTAAGTAATTTATTAAATTTGTTAAAAAATACATATTTTTAATCTCTCAATTTTTAATATATACATATATTTTTTTTAACTTTAAGTTTAGGGACTAAAAAAGTATATATTTACATAAATTTAATGGATTAATTGACGAAAGGATTAAAAAAAATATATATTTTTTTGTAGTTCAAGTACTAAAAAAGTGCACAAAAAATTAAATAACAAAAATTATACAAAACTTTAAAATTAAGTGATAAAATTTACATTTAACCATAACTAAACGGATGACTAATTATGTCTTTCCTTTTATTTTTTTTTGGTACATATGTCTTTCCTTTTATTTGAAATTGCGTACAACTGTTACAAATGAATGACATTTGAATTGAAATTGTTTGGGGAGTTGTACTACAATGATCCTAACGGAAAATCCACTTCCATTGGAGGCTATCTTAAGAGTATAAAATAAAAATTAATTATTAGTTAATAATTGTTAGATTTTTTTTAAATATGAAATTTTAAATTAAAAAATAAATTTTGATTTTAATTTTAAAACAAACAAATAAAAAATTGACACATGGAATTTGTAATTAAAACAAAAATTAACTTTATTATTTTTAAGATAAAAAATTATTATTATTATTATTATATAATTATTTTTTATTCTATATCCTAAATATCTAAGGGCACAGGATATGGCAATAAATTTTGATACATGGCAATGAATTTTGATTTGAGACGTTCAAATTTTTTGCATATAAATATTTTAAAAAAAATTACATCTCAATCTTGATTTTCAAAATAAATCATAGTTTTACTTTTAAATTATATCATTTTATTTAATTAAAACTCAATTCAAA